GTGGCGGACGTGCTGCCTCCGCCGACCCCTCGGAGAGAGGGGGGAGCGCGGTGGGATTTAGGGGTCCAGGCGGGCACCCGGGGGTCTCAGGTCTTGGCTGAGGGCGCGTGCCCGGGCAGGAGCCGATCTCTCTTCTCCCCTCCGCAGCTGCTGACGGCGCAGGGCGTGCGCTGCACACACATCTACAGCTCGCTGGACCAGACCGCCCGCAAGATCAACATCGCCAGGTTCGCCCAGGGCAAGTGCCCGGTGCTGCTGGTCACCGACGTGGCCGCCCGCGGGCTCGAAACAAGCCCAGCTCCTTCAGCCTTTACTCACAGAAGAGACACTCCAGTCCCCTCATCATCATTTCCTTCCTTGCATCATCCTCCAGGGCTGGATTCATAAGGACAATGTGATGAGAGAGCTCAAAACAGCTCGCAAGAGCTGGCCGAAAGACTTTGAGATCCACGTCCTGGAGATCAGGAAAAGCAGGACCAGGGAAGCAGTGAGAAAGCAGAAACAGGAGCTGCGGGCTTCCCCAGATGAGCGTGCCAAGCTACAGTGGGACGCTTGGCACCTGAGGACACGGCTTAATACCAGAGCACTGAGAATGGGCACTGGCTCTCAGAAAGGTTCTGCAGGAGGAGATGAAAGCTGTCGGCTGCCGGCTTCAGGTAATGACCCAGGTCCTGCCAGCTCCCGGCAGGACGCACACGCTGTTTTTCAGAGTGTACCTGCTCCGTCACAATGCTCTGCTGATTTCAGGGGAAAGCAGCCCTGTAGCAACACAGCTGGAACCACCAAGCAAGTAGCTTAGTCACAGGACCGCCTTTTCTCCCCACGCACTGACTCAGCTCTGACACCTCCTCTGCAAAGCGCTGTGCCAGTTTGGAGAGGCCAAGCCAGAACGCAGAGCAGCGAGGCTGCCGCAGACGGGGCGAGGCGTGCGTTGAGAAACAAGGGAGCTGGTAAGGGCTAAGCAGCGCAAACATAACACCGCCCACACATGAAGCCATCTTTTATAGTTGGTTGTAGCACGCAGGGCTGGGCGCAGCCGACTTTGGAAGGGAAGCAGGTCCCAGATTGGCTCGTACTTCATCGAGAAACACAAGGAGTCAGGGTTGGCTTGAAGGTAGAGAGGGTGTGATTGATCGCAGTGCCGAGCAGACAGGAAAGTTAGAAGTAAGAGGATCAGCACGGCAGGAGTCCCAGCTGTGATTCAGGCCTCTGTATCAACAACTCTGGCCTGAGCCAAGCATCAGTGACACTGGCCAGGTGAACACTTCCCCCATCTCATTTTGCTCAGACTGGGTGTTTGCTCCGGACAAGCAGCAGCCTCCTACGGGCAGGGCAGCCCACAGCAGCAACGCAGCGTCTGCTGCTCTCGCGCTGGGCTGCACAGCTCTGGCAGAACACGAGGGCAGGGCGGCAGTGAAGCATCCAGCGCGAGTGAGAGCCGCAGTACGAAATCCAAGCAACCCCTTTATACTTTAACCACCGTTGTTCTTGTGGTGTAAATAGTGAGGAAATGCCAGTTCTGACCTCCCGACGGCCTGGAAGCCCTGGGTGACAGCCTGGGCCAGCGTGGGACAGGAAAGCACGTGGCTGCTGCGATGGGCTCTGGCTTCCCCTATTGCTTCCCTGGAGCCTGGACACAGCAGCGGGGCCAAACTGGCCAGCCCTGGCCATACGAGCCACCGGCAACTTGTTTTTCAGATAAAATCCCTCTTTGTTTTAAGAGGCTTCATCTCTCAAGCACTCTGGCAGTCCAGTATCGCACTTCGTGGCCTGCCTTTGGGTTCAACAGCTCTCTGCTGCTTGGGGGAGCTCCCCCCGTTTGCGGATGGCTCGCCTGGCTGGATCTGACTCGCCCACCTCTGCTAGGGAACCGGGGGCTCGCTCTCCTGTCAATCCTTCACCCTCTTGTCTCCATCTAGTGTCCAAACCACACTTTGGTTTCCCTCCCAGCCCACTCGAGACACCTGGGGGCTGAACGGCTTGCCTGTGTCACCCTGCCAACACCCAAATTAAGCTGAACAGGCTCAGATTGACATCAGCACCCCAACACCTCCTCCGAGAAGGCCCCAATTGCTTTCATGTCCCTACAGCTTTTACCCAGAAGAGCTGCTAAATTGCCGCAGTGCAAAGTGTACGAAGGGGCCCCAAAGCTTGGTGCTCATCGTCAGGAGCCTCACCTTCACGGGTTTTTAATAACTTCAGGTTATTTTTGCTTCCTCTCTGCCAGGGTGGCTGGAGCACCAAGCCCGGGACTGCCGGCTCCCCTAACCCTCCTCGTCCGCTCTCTGGTGCGTTGGGCGAGGAATAAACCGCTGCCGAGTGCCACCCAAACTGCCTGGCCCTGCCCTCCTGTAGGCCGACACGGCCTGGCTCTTCCCACCCTCCCAACAGCTCGCAGCGTGGTAGCTGGGTTACAGCACCACGGATACAACCCGCTTCTCAGCAAAGCTCTCGGCTCAGGCTCGGCCCCATCCAAACCGCACGGATGTGGCCTCTTCTTCAGAGCGGTGGCAGAGCAGGCTCTGACCTCCACATGCCGTACTTGGTCAGAGTCTCCATCAGAGGATGGAGGCTGGCTGCGAAGCTGGGGGGGAGGTTCAAAGGAGTATTTGGACCCGGCACCTCCAGGAAAGTCCCATTCAGGCACATTACCTTTTTTTTGTCCCTCTGGGAAGGCTCAGTTCAGCAGCCGGGGACAGTTCTGCCCGGATTTGGGACCGGTAAAAGGATCCCTCCATAGGGATGTGCAGGGAAAACCTGCTGAAGGCCCTCAAGCCTGCTGTAACTGGCGTCTGCTGTCTTGCCAGGCTGAGCGAGAGGCACCCCATGCTGTCTGCGCCAAGGAAAAAGCTTGGCCCCGACGGAGAAACCCACTGCGCTCAGCTACTGTCCCCGCACTGAGGAGCGGCGCTGGACGCGGCAGGAGAACGGGCAGGACCTGAGGGAGCCGACCACGACCTGTGCTGCCACCCGCGCCCAGAAAAGCTGCTTGTTCCAGACGTTCCCCGAGAGGACAAGAAGGCCAAGAAATAAGCACAAAGCCCATCCTCTGTCCTCCATTCTTTCCCCCCAGCATGGCTGCTTGCTCCCCTGGGGCTCAGCTCTCCCAGATTACAAGCATTAACTGAGCTAGCGCTTGCCCAGGGCTGGCTGTCACTGGCAGAGGACATCAGAGCAGTGGTGTGACAACACGTCTCGCCGTTTTAGGTTATTCAAAGCAAGAATAACCTTTCTTGCCAACGGGACTG